TCAAACTGGAACAGATTTTTTAAAAACCTTAGCACTCAATGTTAGCACAGGTACATCACAGAACAAGCTTAAGTATTGCTCAGCTTCAATAAATTATAGTCTTTCTGGAAAATAGGTTTAGAAAGTTATTAGGAAAAAAATACAGTTATTAGGAATTTATTTTATTTATTTTAAAGATAATAGGAATTTAAAAGTATTATAAGCAATCTACTTCTTCAAATCTACTTTAAATTCTAAAAAGCAATGATGCTAACAGAGATTTCTGAAAAAAAACACAACAATATTTATAAGTCATAAAAATAAAAACAACCTAAACACAAACTTTAGAGTAATTATGAAAAAATCATGGCTTACCCATATAATACACTTTTGTACAGATATTTAAATACTATATTTGAAATTTGTATAACAATGCAACAAAAATTCTATTATATCATGTTGGGAATAAAAGCAGGACATATAATTAGTTTCATTACTAATGAAAAAAATCAGTAATATATTAATATGATTACCTCTATTTACTGAAATGATTTTAGGTTTTTTGCACTTTTTCATATTTTCTTTTCTACAATAAATATACACTATAACCAGAGTCCAAAAAGATCAGACAAGATGTGGAAATGTTGATAAAATGGAGCTGTGAGTATCATGGCTTGGGAAATGAAAAAGTCTTGGGCATATCCAAGGACAAAAAAAAAAAAAAACCCAAAAACCTCTCAAAAATATAAGGTTGCAAATGATTAACTCAATTTTATCTTAGGACTCAGGATTTTCCACAAATAGTTTCCAGAAGAAAATGGACAATGCACAATGAAAATAACCAAGAGCAGCACAAGGAAAAAAGAGCAGAAGCATCAGCTAGGAGAATAAAATGCAAAAGTAGATTACAAAGACTAAACATATTTAAATTATTACATGTAGATAAAATAATAACTAAAATAAAATAACTATTTGTACTATGTTGAAGAAGCAAAAGATAAGCTGTAAATAACTACATCAAAATACATCAAACAGGGAATCATAAAATGACTTAGAAGATTTGGAAGAAAAGCTAATAAAGTTTGGAAATGAATAATTATGTTTGCATCTATCTATCTATCTATCTATCTATCTATCTATCTACCTATATCTACTGAGAGTGAGAGACCAGTTAAAAACAAGAATGTAAGAAATGTTTGCCATATATGACTGATGATTATCTCCTCAAACATTACTTTTTTTTTTTTTAATCTTCTTTTCCTTTGGAACATCACTTAAAAATGTGGTAGACCTGACTTTCTTGCCTGTATATCCCTTCATTTCTCTTTCATTTCACTAATCTTTCATTTATTCTCTGTTGAGCACTACATAATCTGCTATTAAAATCATCCATTTATTTTTTTAATTTCAAGTAAAAACTTGAAGGAAAAGTTAAGTAATTAAATGAATCTAAGGTATTAACTGGACAAGCGCAATGCATATGATGGAAATCCTTTCCCATAACCAGGGCTACATTCCCTCTACATGTGATAAATTGTATTAGTGTTCTCAATTATGCATGGTCTCTCTTTTTAAGAGGATTAGACTTACCATCCTGTTGACATCAGGCTTGGCCATATGACTTGCTTTGTTCAATGGAGTGTGAGCAGAAGAAACACTTATCATCTTCTGGTGGAAAGTGTAAGAGCTATCGAGTGATCTCACTAAAGAATTTGTGCTTACCAGAGCAATGTACCCTAGAAGGATCTGATCCTTCACCCTGAATCTCAGAAGTAAAAAAAAACATGAAGCATAGACAGCTAAGTTGCCATGCTAGTGAGAGATTAACTTTTATACTTGTATACCACTAAGATGGGGTGGTTGCTTGTTACTGTGGTGTAATCTGATAAATGCTAACCTCACACTCTCTTCTTTTCTTCCAGAGGAGTCTTCTCATTAGCTTCAAATTTTTTTCTCTCCTCTGGGTTCTCTTAATAAAATGTAGTAATATTAACAAGTACAATTTTAAGTTACCTTTTGGAAAACAATGTTCCTCTTTTAAAAAGCAGAGGACCATAGGGGAAGGGAGGGAAAACTGAATGGAAAGAAATCAGAGAGGGAGACAAGCCATGAGAGACCTGGACTCAGAGAAACAAACTGAGGGTTACAAAAGGGAGGGTGGGGATGGGCTAACCGGGTGATGGGTATTAAGGAGGTCACGTGTTGTGATGAGCACTGCATATTAAATGCAACTAATGAATCGTTGAACACTACATCAAAAACTAATGATGTACTACATGTTGGCTAATTGAACATAATAATAATAATAATAAAAGTATTTTCAACATACAGATAAATCTTACAAATGTTTCATTCTATCATTTCCAAAGATAAAATGATCACTAAGAAATTTTAACAATCTTCCTATATAATCATCAAATATCATCATTACTCCTCTCCCTTCTTTCCTCTTTCCCTCCCTCCAGTAATTAACTTTGGATAGCATAGTATGCGTCAGGTACTATTTTTGATGAAGAAAATATGGCCATGGCCTATGTCGCCCTCACAGATCTTCTCATTTTTTGAGGGGAATGAACAAGAGTTAAATATTCACACAAACAAAATTCCAAATATGGCAAGAGATATGAAGGAGAAAAGTAGGTGTGTAAGACACACTCATAATAGACAAATTGGATTTAACTGGACAGCCGATGAAAAGCTTCTCAGAACTGACTCGTAAACTGTCTTAAGGATAAATGCTGGGAAGAAGGAACAGGAAAAATACTATAGGAAAAAGAAATAGCATAAAAATGCCATATGGGCTGGGGAAAATATAGCAAATAGGAGAAGATGAAGTAAGGCCATTGTATTTGAATGAAATAATAAGGGTAAACCAATCTGAAGGGGTATGTGTACCCCAATGTTTATAGCAGTAATGTCCACAATAGCCAAACTATGGAAAGAGCCAAGATATCCACCAACAGATGAATGGATAAAGAAGACATGGTATACACACACACACACACACACACACACACACACACACAATGGAATATTATGCAGCCATCAAAAAAACCCTCCGAAATCTTGCCATTTGCAATGACGTGGATGGAACTAGAGGGTATTGTGCTAAGCAAAATAAGTCAATCAGAGAAAGACATGTATCATATAATCTCACTGACATGAGGAATTCTTAATCTCAGGAAACAAACTGAGGGTTGCTGGAGTGGTGGGGGGTGGGAGGAATGGGGTGGCTGGGTGATAGACATTGGGGAGGGTATGTGCTATGGTGAGTGCTGTGAATTGTGTAAGACTGATGAATCACAGACCTGTACCTCTGAAACAAATAATGGATTATATTTTCAAAAAAAGAAAAGATAGTAGGAAGGGAAAAAAGAAGGAGGGGAAATCGGAGGGGGAGACGAACCATGAGAGACTATGGACTCTGAGAAACAAACTGAGGGTTCTAGAGGGGAGGGGGGTGGGGGATGGGTTAGCCTGGTGATGGGTATTAAAGAGGGCACATATTGAATGGAGCACTGGGTGTTATGCACAAACAATGAATCATGGAACACTACATCAAAAACTAATGATGTAATGTATGGTGATTAACATAACATAATAAAATAAAATTTTAAAAAAATTGCAAAGGAGACAAAAAAAATAAGGGTAAACCATGTGTGATATGAGACTGCACAGGCAGGTATGTCTGCCTATTCAGGGACCTAGTAGGAGAGTAAGGAGGTATTTTTGTCCCTTCATTCCTGTTAACATTAATGCAGGTATGGAGAGGAAATGATCATACTTATGTTAAAAAGAAAGGAAAGAAAGAGAGACGATGGACTCTGAAAAACAAACTGAGGGTTCTAGAGGGGAGGGGGTTGGGGGATGGGTTAGCCTGGTGATGGGTATTAAGGAGGGCACGTTCTGCGTGGAGCACTGGGTGTTATGCACAAACAATGAATCATGGAACACTACATCACATCACAAACTAATGATGTAGTGTATGGTGATTAACATAATAAAAAATTTTAAGAAAGAAAGAAAGAAAAAAGAAAGAAAGAACGAGATAATGTATTAGAAAGAGAGCATAATGACTGCAGTAAACTAGCTTTAGAAGTCACTATAAGTTCATGCAAGATATGATGATTGCTTGTACCAGGGTGCTGGTGGAGTAATGAGATAGTTAAAAAGATATTTAGCATGTGGAACATATTTTCTTAACATTTTGAATATGAGGACTGAAATAGAAAAAGGAAGCAAGAAAACCTGTAGGTTTCTGAGTAAGAAAACTAGTAGTTGCTAGAAAGAATTGAGGGTTGACAAGGGCAGCAGAAGCTTAATTAAACATATTTTAATTTAATTTAATTTTTTAAAAAGATTTTATTTGTTTGACAGAGAGAGACACAGCGAGAGAGGGAACACAAGCAGGGGGCGTGGGAGAGGGAGAAGCAGGCTTCCTACGGAGCAGGGAGCCCGATGTGGGGCTCGATCCCAGGACCCCCGGATCATGACCTGAGCTGAAGGCAGACCCTTAACCGACTGAGCCACCCAGGCACCCCAAAACATATTTTAATTTTAAAGTGTCTTTGAGTATAAGAGGATATGTCAAAAGGAGGTGATAGGAGTGAGCATAAAACTCCTTATTAGATCATTTTTTCAACATTTTGATATCTCTAAAGGGATTCAGAGTGATTTAAAGAGCAACCAAGCAACATCTAGGGGCACCTGGGTAGTTCAGTTGGTTAAGCCTCCAGCTCTTGATTTCAGCTCAGGTCATGATTTCAGGGTTATGAGATTAAGCCCCGTGTCAGTCTCTGCGCTGGGAGTGGAGCCTACTTAAGATTCTCTCTCTCCCTCTCCCTCTGCTCCCCCTCCCACACTAAAAAAAAAAAAAAAAGCTAATAGAAATAAATAAAATTTAAGCTAATGATAAATACAAACACCACCATACCACCCCAGGAGAATAAAATGAAGAGATGTATTATATTTAACATATTGGATATGTTATATCAAAATAAAAATTATATTTGCACAATTACCTGTCATTGATTAAACCTGCTACCGTTTCAATATCAATTTCAAGTCTTGTGTTTTCTTCTGTCAATTGAGTACTTGCAATTGAAATATCTGAAAAGTCTTTTGCAATATTAGAAAGCTCAATATCCCATGAGTTTTTCTTTAAGAAAAGAATAAAAGAATCATTTATACATGTCTTGTATCTCAGAAAGAAAAAAATGTATAATAATGAAATTACTTTTACTTGCATGAATTAGTATTTAGGAATAGAGAATAGAACTCTAGGGAGAAGGAGGGAAAGGTCAACTTACTGTGGCATAATAATTATTAAGTACATCCTGATACTCCTGTTCATTACTTTTTCTCTTCCAGGATAGTTGATCATAAATTTTTTTCAAATCATCTAGCTAAGAAAAAATATACAGAAAAAAATAAACAAATTATAAAGAAAAAATATATTTCAAATTATGTAGCTATCATAACTTAATAAATGTTGATTAAAATAGTATAACACCATAGGTTGTTGCCATTTATAAAAATTGATGCAAGATTCTGAATAGAATATAGCAAATTAAGTCTAACAGTGCTCAAATAATTAATCTGAATAAAATAGAATGTATTTTAGTTATGTTGTAAGAATTGATAAAAATTAGAAAATTTAAATCATAATTCATCACATTAAAAAATTAAAGGAAAAAAATAACACAAATATGGTCAACACTCTAGAGAACAGCTATGTGATAAATTCACTATCTAGTTTCAATAATTTTTAAACTAGTACAAGGAAAAACTACACAAATACAATATAAAGAATAGAAAATACCAAAATATATCATAAAATGCTGAATGCACACTCACTGAACTCAAGAATGAGACTAGATTATCTCTTACCACCATTGTTATTAATCATGTTTTGTGGAAGTTTAAATGTAATTGGATAATAAAACCAAAAGTTATTATTATAATGTTGAATATGAATAGATAATGCATCTTCAACTTTAAATATGAGTGAACACTTTGAAAAACAGAAGATTTTATTTAAAACTACAATAAACGACTTTGGTAAAATGGCTGGATATAAGCATAAGGAAATTAATAGCTTTTAACCATAACACTAATAATCTGTTTAAAAACATAGTGACAATATTTAAAAACTTTGGTCAAAAAATATTAAATATTTGGGAATAAATTAAACATAAAAAGGAAGACCCATATAAAGCAAACACAAATTCTTATTTAAAAGCTTAAATCAAGACCCACATGAAAAGAATGATAAGCCATGCAAAGGTTTAATAGAATATACTGTCAGTTACATGGTTATTTAAACAATTATTTAAAAAAGGAAACTACTGTTATTGGAAGTTAAAAATCCAATATCACATGCCATAAAGGGAAGCAATTTTAAAAATAAATAAAAACAATTTATGAAATAAACAATATAAAAATAAAATACAAGTAGTATTAAATATATTCAACTTACCAAGAAAATACTAAATATATTTTTCTTAGAATTATGATCAGTAATTAAAGAAATATTTGGATTGATGTTGTATTTTGAAGATGAGTACTTCAATGAATTATAATTTACCTGTATATTTAATAAATTTCCCATATAACTGGACATTATATTTCTAACCCAAATAAAAATAAGTTTTTTATAATTTTTAGTTTCAAGAAGGCTTTGAAATATCTTGCAGAATTGTTCTTCAGAAACTGTCCAATTACTAAGTGATGTACAAGCTTTCTTACCCACTCATTATTATCATTGTTTGGGAAATAATCATGAAAAAACTATCAGTCAAGTTTTTCAGATAGTGCAACATATTTAAAGTTGTAACCAAATTACTCAGACAATGAGACATTTCCACCTTGACATAATTAAAAGGTATATTCTATGGCTTCAATTATGCTGGATTTTTTTCTTCAGAGAGCTTCACCTATTAGAGTTCTGTTAGGACATTTTAAGTTTTTGAATGAGAAAATACCTTTGTAAAATATCCTAATTTTTAATGTAGTTCTCATTCATAAAGTCATCTAGAAGCCTGAATTTTTCACTGAGGAATACTTGAAGCTCTTTTTATAAATTAATAGGGAGTGAGTTTCTTAAAAAGCACATATTAAAGAATAATGGTTGATCATTCATTTACAAATCTGAGGGCACATATGAGTATTTGGTGGTTTTAACGAATCTGATGAATAATTTTTAAAATTTCATTAAATACTTCTCTTAAAATCCCTGCATCACTTTGCAATGGCTTGAATATGACTATTCATGAGTATAACAGTGGGTGGATTTGCCTTTTTGGCAACTTTTTGAATGTATGTAATTAGTTACTTTCTTTCATCTGGCTATGGCGTTAGCATTATATGTGATTAATCAAAAACATGGATTCCAGGACTTACCACTGTTTCTCAAGAAGTTGTCAATACATTTATATTTTCTTTATCTGTGCACATTAGCAAAGAATTCACAGTGTGAATGAATTCATCACTTTGCCGTGAATTATAACAACTTTTATACTAGAAATAATAATTACTTCTTTACATATTTGGTTATCTCTATAAGTAAAAGATGAATTGTTATTTGACATAGGCATTTAATGAATCATTTTGTTTTTTATATCCCTGAATCCCCCTGTCACCTGGTAGCAGGCTTGATAAATGACTTACTAACTGCTTCAGCAGATCTGGACTCTGAAGTTAATTGTAATGCTAAAAACATAATTCTAAAGTCTCAGCATTTTCATTCTGTTTCGCTCTGTACATACACTTGAGTATCCGTCTATTTTAAAATTTTGGTAGGCTATTTTTTGTGCTTCAACATGACAATTGTGGATTATTTAATAATTATGACCATTGTGACTAATCTTAGAATACATAATAGATTTGTTTTCTTCATCAGTTCATAAAATCCAAAAATCTAATAAAAACCGAATTCTTCCCACACTAACCTTTCTTTGCTGCTTGTAAACATTAGTAAAGGATCTTTAGGAAATACTTTATTTTGGTCTTCATACCTATCTAAAGACATGTTACTGATTCTATTACATTCTTCACTAGTGTCTTTATTTCTACACTTAAACATCCATAATTTTTTTTTTTTTTTTTTAAGAGAGAGAGCATGCATGCCTGAGCAGGGGGATGGGGCAGAGGGAGAGGGAGACAGAGAATCTTAAGCAGGCTCCACACCCACCCAGTGTGGAGTGTGACTCGAGGCTGGATGTCAGGACCCTGAGATCATGACCTGAGCCGAAATCAAGTGGTGCAGGCTTAACTGAATGAGCCACCCAGATGCCCCAAACATCCGTATATTTAACCACTAATCTAGGACTGAATCTATAGAAGTACAAAAATCATAAATAGGCCCCAAACCAGTTTCTAATGTGCTTTCTAGATGTGGTAGCTCTGATGCCTAAAATTATACGTATTTCATATGCCAAACAACTGTCAATCTTTAAGAAGATTTTCCAGTGCATTTTCCAATAAAAAGAAAAGATAAACATGAAAATTCAGTGTTTTAAGGTCAAAATTAATGATCTGTACTACCATGCCACTGATAGGTATTTGTTGGCAGGCTCAGGAAGTGAAGTTATGAAATGCTCATGGGCACACCTTAAGTACTACAGTATAATTCTTACAACCTGCAATTTTTGAATAAGTACTATTATTTTAGCCCTGCTCTGAGCAATAAAATCCATGGAACCACGCATGAAATCACTGTGTGCTAATTGCTTTCTTAATATAAATGATAATAAACACATAACTTTGAAAATGCTCATCATTGAATATCTAAAATTATGGAGATGTCATGAATAGTAATCTTTGCAAGTAAAAAAAGAAGAGGAAATTTGAATGGCTGATAAAAACAAAATGAAAATGAATTTACTTCACCTCCAGGCAGGAAAATGAAAATTAATCCAACACTTCTTTACCCAATAATTAAATTGGTATGATTTTAAAACACCTACAGTGTTGGGAAAAGTGAGAAATCAGATATTTGTATTGCTCATATATACATATATATGCACAAATATACATATCAAACTTTTCAGAACATATTTTAGTAATATCTATCTTGAAAAGTACACTTAGTTCTGACACAACAATCCAAATTTGGAGAATTTAGTGCATACAAAGAACCAGCACATAAAACCAGCCTACATAAAGTTATTAATTTTAATATTGTTAGTAGTGGTTAACAACGGTTTTCATTCTGAATTTATTTGAAAGGAAATAACTGAGTAAGTTGTAGTTGAGGTGAATAAAGTGTAATTAATGGCTCAATCAATGAACCTGCTTTGCAACTTCCTTCTAATATGCTTTTTTGTGTATCAGAGCCCAGGACAGAAAAAGAACAGAAAAGAAGGCAGGGAGGCAGGGAGGCAGGGAGGCAGTTTCTACTCTTATTTGTGAAACTGTTCAAGATGCAAATTAGTTTCAACCAATAGGAGATCCAGTCATGCATATTGTGGAAAGCAAAATTGAGGTAAAAGCCATCTTCCTGATTCTTGGTTGCTTTCTCCAATTTAATTTTGTTTGTTTGCTCTCTATTGGCAAGTAAGGTCATGAGGTGTGAATATTGTCTAGCTGTGATTGTGTCTATCCGCTAGCTGTGGGTGTCCCAGCTTTCTGATCCAAGCAGCAGGCGTACACTCAATACAGGTCCAGAGGCAGCCTCAGATGTCATAGTTCCTCTACTGGTCAATTTGGGAAACATTCCTGGAATGTCCAGCCTATAGCTCTCTTGGCCAGCTTTGCAAATTTGTTGAAATCTCTAAATCCCTTTCTAAATGAATGATACCCTTTATATGTATTCTCCTTTAATCAACACATTAACCCCTAAATCCCTCTCTTGCAGATTTTTAACGTATTAAATTAACATACATCTAGTTGTTCAAATGAGAAAACTGAATCTCAAAAGGGTGTAACGTGCAGGTCACAACTGGAACGTGGAGGAGAAATTTGAGTCTGATTCTCTGTGACAGCCTCTAACACAACATTCTAAAGTGTTTAAAAATTCTCAACCTTACTAACCAGAGAAATGAAAATTTAAAACTACAGAGGGATAAATCCTCCAAAAGAACTATAATTAAAAATAAATAAAAGACAATATTAGATGATGGTGTTAATCTGAGACTGGAACTCTCATACATGATGGTCTGAGTAGGAAAAATGTATAACTATTTTGGAAAAAATTTTTGGCATTATCTACTAAAACTGAACAGATGGGGTTTTTTGGCCTAGCAATTCCCAACATAAATTAATACACAGTTCCAACGCATATTTCAACTGCCTTGGTCTGAAAAACTAGAAGGACTGGATATCATAAAATGGAACAGGGAAAACTGCAGGTTTATAGAGAGGTTGGATATCTAAAGTTCAATTTTGGAAAAGGTAAGCTTGACAT